TCGAGGCCACCGATCAGGCCCGGTCTGTCTCGTAGTGGTTACCCTGCGTTTGATATGTCTATGGATGCTGCTTATTCTGTCACGTATGGATCTCTTTCCTTGCGTGTACCTAGCTGAGGACCTTTGCCTGTTGCAAGTGTATATACTTGTGCTTTTAGTGTAGGTGCTTGTGTAGTCACTAGTCCAGCCGTGACGATTGCTGTCGCGTCGCTCTCCTTCACGCTGGACTCAGGCGCGTCTCAGTGCTTCTTTCGCGACCACAGCACTGTCACACCTCTTTCGGCCCCAGTCCCAGTTGCCCTGGCTGATCCTACTTCAGGACCAGAAGTCGCTCGCAGCTCAACCACTCTCCCGTGCCCGGCTGTCCCTTCTGGTTCCTCACTGGTCTCTACATCCCCTCGTTCTCTCGGAACTTGGTGGGTGTTGGATACCTTCAGGACCGTGGGATCACAGTCACTTTTCCTGCGCACGAGAGGATGACGATTTGTACGGATGCTTCCACCGGGGCACTTCTTGCCACGTTCACCAGGGAGCCCCACTTAGGTCTCTTCGTTCTGCACACTGCGTCCCACCAGGTAGCAGATTCCGGCCTGGTTACTGCGTCCCCCCAGGTAGCAGAGTCCGGTCAGGTTACTGCGTCCCCTCCGGTTGCTGTGTCTAGTCAGGTTGCTGCGTCTGGTCAGGTTGCTGCGTCTTGCTCCTGTCGGTCTCTCGCCCACCCGACCGTCTTGTGGCACCACCGTCTTGGCCACCTGTCGATCCCCCGCCTCCGCAGCATGGCTAGTCACCGTCTTGTCTCGGGTCTCCCTCGCTTCTTTGCGTCGCTCTCTCCCTCGCCTGCACCGCCGTGCACTCCTTGCGTCGCCGGCCGCCTGCGCGCCACTCCGCACTCCTCCCTTCGTCCGGCCACTGCTCCCTTCCAGACTCTCCACTTGGATGTCTTTGGCCCTGCCCCTACTCAGGGACCTGAGAGGGAGCGCTACTTTCTGGTGGTCGTCGACGACTACTCCAGGTACACCACGGTATTTCCTCTCGCAAAGAAGTCCGAGGTGACTTCTACGATGATCCGGTGGCTTCTGGCTACTGAGGGCACTCGTGGTCGTCGTATCTCCTGTCTCCATTCCGACCGTGGGGGCGAGTTTTGCTCCTGCATTCTTCGCGATTTTTGCGGCGAACAGGGCATCTCACAGTCCTGGACGCTTTCGGAGTCCCCACAACAGAATGGGATTGCTGAGCGCCGCATTGGCTTGGTCATGGACACGCCCGTGCGCCCCATTTTCTGTGGCCCTACGCAGTTCGTTACGCAGCTCACCAGCTGAACCTCCAGCCGCGTGTCTCGCGGCCAGAGGCTTCACCGACCAGTATTTGGACCGGGTCCCCTGGTGTTGGGTTGGCCTTTCGTGTCTAGGGCTGCCTTGCGCTTATCCGCGACACCTATGCGGACAAGCTCTCGGCTCGCGCCATCCCCTGTGTCTTCCTTGGTTACCTGGTGGACTCTCCCGACTACGCCTTTTACCACCCGCCTTTCCACCAGTTCCTAGACTCCCGTGACGTCTGGTTTGACGAGTCAGTGTCCTACTATACCGGGTACCCCTGCCGAGGTCTTCCGCCCCCCCCTCCTCCTCTTTTCCTTGCACCCTCTCCTCCTCCTGCTCCCACTCCTCCGGTACCCCCGCACCCCCCTGGTCCTCCCCCGTCAGGTGTGTCTCACGCTACCCCTCTCCCCTCGGTCGGGTGTCAGGTAGCGTCTCCCTCCCCGCAGTCCTCCTCACAGTCCCCTCAGCAGCCTTTGGCACTTCCGCGACAGGTTACTGTGGACTCTGGGGGTGTTGGAGCTGGAGGTACTGACACTGGAGGTGCTCGATCTAGGGGTGCTCGTTCGCGGGGTGCTGGAGCTGGATTTGCTAGTTCGGGGGGTGCTGGAGCTAGAGGTGCTGGCACAGGTGGTGCTAGTTCTGGGGGTGCTGGAGCTTGAGGTGCTGGAGCTGCAGATGCTGGCACTGGAGGTGCTAGTTCTGGGGGTGCTGGAGCAGGAGTTGCTAGCACTGGAGGTGCTAGTTCAGGGGGTGCTGGAGCTGTAGGACACTGGTGGTGCTACCTCAGCAGCAGCAGCAGCAACAGCAGCAGCAGCAGCAGCAGCAGCAGCAGCAGCAGCACCACCAGCAGCAGCAGCAGCAGCAGCAGCAGCAGCAGTAGCAGCAGTAGCAGCAGCAGCAGCAGCAGGAGCAGCAGCAGCAGCAGGAGCAGCAGCAGCAGCAGGAGCAGCAGCAGCAGCAGCAGCAGCAGCAGCAGCAGCAGCAGCAGCAGCAGCAGCAGCAGCAGCAGCAGCAGCAGCAGCAGCAGCAGCAGCAGCAGCAGCAGCAGCAGCAGCAGCAGCAGCAGCAGCAGTAGTAGTAGTAGTAGTAGTAGTAGTAGTAGTAGTAGTAGTAGTAGTAGTAGTAGTAGTAGTAGTAGTGGTGGTGGTATGAAGACGCTTAAACACGTTTAGATTAAGTCGTGCCAGATCTAATTATAATGCTGTTAAAGTAAATCGGATGCTACACTGTGTGGGAATCAAATACACAGATAATATGAATCTGGTAATATGTGCTGTTGTAGTTTAGGATTCTTCAATAGCTTGATAATTTTCATAAATCATGTGCTAAAACAGTCTCAAGTGTTGTTATTGAGTGACGTGATACACTAACTTTCAACTTTAGGGCATGTTTGTCTAGTTTACATCTCACAACGCTGGGGAGACAGATGCCCTTAGTTTGGTAACACAATTCTGACTTATCGACGGTTCTCCGGGTTCACCGCGTTGACACAATCTGACTCAACATTTTCCGCCAAACAAAACTTCGCCCCAGCACAGGTGCTCTCGACCGTCGATCCCAAACTGTCAAATCTTGACCATCAACCTTTACAGCCTCCCCACCCAGACGAGCATCTCTTCATCTCGATTCTCCCTCCCCCTTCTCTGTCACCACGTATATGTGCTTGCGTTTTTTTGTTGTGTTTCCTGTCCGCCATAGATACACGTTTTCTCAGCCACGGAATTGTCCCGGTCTCGTCGATCCACTATGCGCCAGGCGTAACGGTGCTGGTTGTCGCGCTGCTCGTAACGTCGTCGACGGGTCCTTTAGTGTTCAAGGTTTCATGTTGTTGCGAAATCGAGAACTGTAGGAACGCGAAGTCTCTTGCTTTTTCGTTTCTCCTATCCACGCTTTCCCGTTCCTTCCTACCAACGTTATTCTTTTCTTTGCAGAGAGCGACTATCACGAGTGGCGCATCGCGCTCGATTGGCCGATCGCTCGCAGCATCACGCGTCAAGCGGCGCACTTCCGCCACAGCATGAGGAACTTTCGCCGCCGCCGCGTGCGGAACTTGTGAGGTGTGGCGGCGCTGGTTGTCGCGAAGTTTCATTCGCGAGCCATTAATGTGTTTTTTCCTGCGTTCCCTCCTTCCCTCGTTCCTTCTCTGTTCTTCTCTGTTCTTCCCGTTTTTCCTTCTAATTTCCCTACATCCCCGTTTTCCCGCGTTCCTAATTCCCAATTCCCCGTCACCCATACTTGTGTTCGCATATAGCACTAGCGTGGCGCCACGGACCAAGAGCACCTCGCGCGCGCGCTCGCTCACTCCCGTGCACCTTGCGCGCGCGCGCTCGCTCGCTACAACGCACTCGACGAATGGCTTCAGCAGTGGCAGTGTAGCGTGGTGAGTGTAACGAATGTAGCTAGGAGCTGTGGGGCCCTGATTCTTCAACCCGCTGCTGTCATGTTCCCACTCGCGCTACTTCTCTCTCCCCTCCCTACCGTCCGCCCTCATGTTCTCATGCGCCTGCCTCCCTTGCTCCCCCAACCGTGCGCTCCCACACCCCATCCCCTCAGGGCGGCGACGTGTTCGACTTCCCCTTCTCAACCCGTCTGCCCTTTCCCCTCCTGCTGCCGCTCTTCTCCGCCTCCTCTCCTTCCCCCTCTTCTCCTCCCCTCATCTGCGCCCACCAGAGTCTACCTTCCGCCAAGCCCCAGGTGGCCACTACTCCGCCCATCCCTCCTCCCCCCCCATGCCCCACTCCTCCCCCCTCTCCTTCCCCCCCCTCCGCTTCCCCCCCAGAGCACTTGCCACGCTCTTGTGACATGCCATGAGTCAACACCATGTATCACAACCAGCCTGCCCGTGGTTCCAAAAAGACCTGGCGGTAATTGCCCATTTTGTTTTATTTTTTGTTTTGTTTTGTTTTATTATTTTTGCCTTTGGGCATCAGATGGAATGTTGCTGACTTCCAAACCTTGTTCTCTGTGTGCAGGTTAGAACAACTCAGGGTTTGATAAGGAGCTGTTGATAATGGTGACTAGGTCAATCATTAAACTAGTTCTACTGCATATCCGAGTAGGTTGTACCTGGATGCAATTTGTGTCTTTAATATAAATGATAATTAGAAACAAGTATTATTTTGCATTTAGTGAAACGCACAAACAAAGCACCGTATAGAAACCAGAGGTCGTCTGTAACGCGAATGTGAAACCGAAGGATCGTAGGACACGTGTCGAAGCATCGACCGTCAGATCTTGTGGTGGTTTACTGCAGATTGATGAATGTGTTTACTGATTTTGTTTTGAATATTGTTGACACATAATTGTAGCGAGTTGGTCCATTAGGGAGGATTCTGCATCATTTTCAGCCCACAGAAATCAGACACGTGGACACTTATCGTTTTTCCGCATCCACACAAAAATGAGTAACCGTTTTCAAGAAACACCCCGCAATTTGTTCGTCAGCGAATCTTGAACGTCCCTACATTGTGGGAGGAGCCGAGGTTGAACTGCACGGTGAGATTCAAACCTACCTTAACGATACCCTGAAACATACGTTTGCCGAACCTGCGAACACATGCCGAGCTTCAAACCCTCTGGAAACGTATGTTTCCCATTCTTGTGAACGTAGCTCCTGAAAAACAAACCCCCCCCTGCAACCCTGACGATACCCCAACGTAGCTTTCTGAAGCGTCAATTTTTGAGATGTCCTACGTAGCAGGTGGCATTTGGGTTCGGCGAGCATCTGTTCGCCGTTGCTGGAGGCCATTCGCGACAAAGTTTCGAACTTACCCTCCCCCCTCCTCCCCTCACTCCTCGCCCTCCCTCCCTCCCCCCTCTTCCCCCTTCTCCCCGCCCTTCCTTCCCCCTTGTCCCCTGCTTCCCCATCCTAGCAGCAGCATCTGGCAGCCTTGTCAGCCCATGCAGAGGCCATCCGCGATAAGGTGCGCGGAGTGGGGAGATCGGTGCGCGGGCTTGGGGGGCGGAAGGCGCAGGGGGGAAGAATGGTGAGCGGAGAGGAGCGGGGAGGAAACATGGAGAAGCAAAGTGGGGGGGAGGAAGAGAGGGAGGATCAGGGTCAGGAGAAAAAGGAGGACAAGGGTAGTGAGAAGGAGAAGGAGGCGGAAGAGGAGGAAGGGGAGGGGGAGGGGGGAATGAGGGACGAGGAGGAGGAGAAGACGATCGATCTGGTAGACGAGACATCGGAGGAAGAGGATGAAGAAAACTCGAAAGGGGACTCTCCAGGAGAAGCAATGGAGGAGATGGAGCAAGCGGTGGGAGAAGGGCGAGCGGAGGAGGCAGAGGCAGTAGGAGTAGGGCTGGGGAGAGAGGAGGGGTATGCGGCAGAGAGGGAGGGAGCAGCAGAGTGGGAGGGGGCGGCAGAGTGGGAAGGAGTGGCAGAGAGGGGAGGAGGTGCAGAGAATTGTGAAAATGAGGTCGAAGATGCAGAGGAGGACGCAGTGGAGGAGGGAGTGGGAGATAACTATGAGTTGGTTGAGGTGAGGTGGCATTAAGATGAGATCCTGATTTTCTGAAAAATTACCCAACCAAATACAGTATACTTATATTTTTAGACAGGTGTGTTTACGTCATCACATAAATATTTGTACATTCTCCTTGTTGCTCCTCTCGTCTCCAACTCTGCACCACCCCTCTGCTCCCTTTCCTTTCACTACGCTGCACCACCCCTCTGCTCCCTTTCCTTTCACTACGCTGCACCATCCCTCTGCTCCCCCACCCTTCCCAAGCAGCCCCTCGTTGCTGAAAACGGAAGGGGGCAGGACAAGGGGGCAGGGTTAGGGAACGAAGCCAGGGATATCATGCAAAGGGGAGGGGAAGGCGTGGTGGGGAGGGCAGGTGGGGAGCAGAGTGGTGCAGGAGAGGCAGATGGGCCGGTGGGGAACGACCTGGTAGCGTCTGTGGAGCGATGGGCGCAACGGGCGGGGCTGCGCGGAGCAGCAGCAGCTGCAGCAGCAACAGCAGCAGCAGCACCAGGGCAGCCGTCACCAAGCAAGGGATCTTCACGTGGAGAGGTGCAGAGTGCACTGGTGGAGGGGAAACCCACCAATGGTGAAGAGGCATTCAAGGCGCGGCTGCAGGAGGAAATCGATGCCTTGCTGCGGCAAATCCCTCCCGATAAGCAGCAGATTTCAAAACTTCTGATCAACGTAACGGTCAGCTTTCTCTCTTCTCTGCCATCCAAGACACAGCAGATCACCCCTACATTGCAACGGACCACCCCTGAAATGCAGCGGCTCATCCCAGCAGCACCGCACATCACCCCTGAATTACAGGAAATCACCCTGTCCCACCGAAATTTCCACTACTTCCTCTCACTCGCTCCCGCCTGCCATCCAACCCTCCTTCCCTCCCTCACCTCCCTCACGCTCGACCAATGCTCCGCAGTCTCTCCCCGCGACATGCTCTCCCTCCGCCACCTTCCCTCCCTCACCTCCCTCTCCTTCCTTCAAACCCCCATCGCTCCATCCGCCCTGTCCCCCATCCAGCCCTTCTCCCGCCTCCACCAAAACGGGGCCCTGGCTGTTGAAGAACCTAAAATCCCTGCACGTGAGCAGGGTGACTGACTCTGTTCTGCAGCAGGTGGGGGCGCTCACGAGCCTTGAGGTCCTCTCCTGCACGTTCTGTGAGGGGGTGAGCTCTATGGGCTGGATTTTGCTGGACCGGCTGAAACGTCTGAGATGGCTCCGAGTGGCACCAGCGGACCTGGACGGTCATGGTCTGAGGATGGAGTATCCCAAGGGAAGGTTGCCGGTGGTCTCGCGAGTGTATGCAAGGCCACAGAAGAAGCAGGGGGGCGTACTTTGGGAGAGTGGTCAAGAGGGTGGTCAAGAGGGTGTTCAAGAGGGTGCACACTTGAAACACAAGGGATTGTCAGGCCCAGTGGACGATAGTGGGGTTTGGTGTCTGGTACGGGGGCTGCAACATCTGGAGCACCTGGAGCTGCATGCACCACCGCGCTACAGGAACGCGTTCATCTCACTCGAAAAGTCGTACCTTCTCACCACTCTCCACATCACAGGAGCTGTTCTTGACAATGACGCCTTGACTTGGTTGACTCACGTGACTTGGTTGACCCACCTCAGCCTGGCTGGCTGCACGTTCCCAACCGAGAGCGAGGTCCATCAAAGCTGGAGGCCCCCCGTCAGTGTGGTGAAGAGAATAGCCGGCTCCATGCCGAAGCTCGAGTCCCTGGACCTGTCGGGAACGGCAGTCACCAAAGAAGAGATTTTTGAGCTGCAGTATTTGAAGCACTTGGAGCGCTTGACTCTGAGGCAGTGCTGCAATCTGGGCCAGTCGTTTGTGCGCTTCCTCAGGTTCTTGCCTCGGCCCAAGGAGCTGGATCTGAGGTTTAACAACATGCCGGCTGATTGGTTGAGGCACGTTGTGGAAGGGAAGCGGGTGAAAAGGCTGAGTGTGAGGGGGTGTGGGTACAGGGAGAAGACCGTGCGTGGGCTTGAACGGCCTTGGATTGTGATCGAGGCTTGATGTGATGGTTGTTGCTGGGATCCAACACATGTGGAGTCTGGATCATGGTGTATGGCATGTGGTGTATGGCGCGCCGTGTATGGCATGTGGTGCACTCCCTATGGTGCTACTCACTGTATCCTAAGAAGCTAATATAACATTTGACATGTATGGGACACGGTGTAGGGCATATGAGAGCATGTGATGGTTGAGAATTGAGGAGCATGCGAGTTAGAGTTAATGGTACTGTATGAGGGCTTATATCATGAGCTGTGGAGGTAATGGGGGGTATATGGTAGGTACTAGGTAGGTCTTGGATGGAAAATGGAGCACGTGTCTGACATCACGCATGATCGAGCATGTGATTAGCTTGTGGGAGGTTTAATGTAAGTTAGATAATTATGTATGTAGTCTGGAAACTCCGCCAAAAAACAACAAAAACAATGACTACCTTGAGAACGCCATGGCTGACCCCGAGACCTTCACAAGTGTCAATGTCCCACGCTTTTTTACCAGTTGTTAAATCTGAGCCTAGATTCGTACTCCTTAAGACTTTAGGAAGCTGTTGGTACACTTTTTGTGTTCAAAAGACGAACATTGTCCATACGACCCTATTGTCAGGCAATATCAAGGTTCTTTTTGACAATGGAGATCTCAGGGAGCGCGAAGGCATCAGGGTGCCTGAAGTGTCTATTCTCAAGGCGTCTTTGCTCGAGGCGCGTCATCCTGCTTTTCGCTGCTATTTATACAGGCACTGGCGGAGGTACAAGCACAAGTCAAGGAAGGAGCTTCCGGTGCTCAGCTCTTATTCACGGTCTACTTCTGCAGACACTCTCTCGGCTTCTCATCATCACACCATGGCTCTTCCTGAAGGGACTCCTGCTGTGAACGCTCCGGGTGCTGGCCTCTATGGGAAGAAGCCTACGAAAGTACGCCCTGAGCCGGTCGCTCCGAAGACGATGTTCAATGGCGCGACGGCTCCCCGAGGAGAGGAAGAGATTAAGGTGCTCACGGCTCGCACGTCAGCGCTACGCATCAATGATCTGCCAGAAGGAAGCGATGCAAATGTCACTTTCAATGACAAGGCAGCAAGTGGTGCAGCATCGGATCCTAATGTGCTGGACAAGGGAAAGACAAAGGTTCAAGATGCGGAGGAAGACTGCGGTTACCTCAGTGACGATCCTGATGAATGCCAGGATCCGGCGACGCTCAACGAGATTGCTGCGCAAGCGGGGGTCGCTATCACGCTGCTGGTCCCTTTCGCCTGGAACAAGGAGATCCCGCGTGGTATCTGCACCGTCAAGCATCTGCTGTTGCTGTGGGGCAAGCATATGTCGGAGAACGTCAAAGCAACAACGAGGTGTCAGCAACTCACGGCGACTTTCCTCTCCAAGCAGCATTTTGGGCGCGTAGAAGTGGTTTTCCTGCAAGAGGCCGACGCGGTGTTCATGCGAAGCAGGGAGATCGAGCACTACACGGTGAACGACAAGAAGCTTACGCTCGGCTGGTAGCATTCGGAGAATAAGGAGTACCTGAAGGAGTGCGCAGCTCACCCGGAGGCGATAGAGGTGTTGCTCCGGGGGGTGCCGGCGGTGATCTCACCGGCAATGATCAAGAAGAACCTGGTGTCTGCGATGCTGCTAAAACGAGGTCGCACTGCGTTTCTCGACGGCTCGGCCTTCCACCGTGTGCTGGATCCGGCTTCGGGGTCAGACACAGACAAGATTAAGGGCTTGGTTTTCAGGCACCTGGGGAATAAGTATAAGTGGTGGCACAAGGTCACCGGCCGGGTCCACGGGATCGAGTTGCTGGTGTCTTTCCCTGCACTAGTTTGTGATTTCTGCAGTGGGATGCACATGTCGTGTTTCCATGAAGATTATGTTAAGGAGAGGCAGAACAACATCGGGAACTGGAATCTAACGCTGGTGCGTACCCATGAGATCAATGGTAACCGACCCTGCTCTCACCTTGCTTTCAGGTGGCCGCAGCAGCGAGCTTCCATGCTGACCTCTGTACAATCTCCCCCCCGAGTAGCTGCTTCCATGAAGCTCACATCTGCGATGAAGATCCTACTGGCGGACCCGGCGATTGCTTTTACATCTACGGGAGGAGTCCGGGAGGAGTGGCTGTGCGCTCAGGAGGACTGCGGGAAGGCCCACGGTACCAGTTTCGAGAAGGCGGTGGAGCATGTGCAGTCGGTCCGCCATGGTACCGGTCTGCTCAAGGCGGGAGCGGCGACGCGTCTGAGCAAAGGGAAGCAAAACCTTGCGCATGTCCGAAAGGAGTTCGGGATGTGACTGACCGGCCAGTGGAGCGGCTGAGCTGGATGGCACCTGCACAAGCTTTGGGAAACCAGACGGATGAGGGGAGCTTGGTAAATTCAACTGCGAAGCAAGAGTGGTCAGATGTAGCATCGGCAGAAGTTAGTATGTGCTGTACTGCTTTTAATAAAGCCCGTGGATGCGAGGGGCCCTTTTCCGAGTGGATTAATGGGTAACACACTGATACTCACCATCTGCAGGGTCAATGTGAACGGCCTTGGCGGCTGCGGCAAACGAACTAAGAACAGGCGGTGGCTGCGCACAACATCGGACATAATGGTACTTTCAGACACAAGGATTAAGGAAGATCACAACTTCCAGCGAGATTAAACCGAGAGCGTGGGCTGCGGTTGGGCCGAGCCAGGCGGCGGGCGGGGTCGCAGTCATGACGTTCGACAGGCACATCCGCTTCTCAGATGTCACGCCGGATCCATCGGAAAAGGCTGTTGGGGGTGACAGTGGAAGGGGGGGAGGAGGCCTTCAGACTGGTTGCGGCTTACCTTCCGGCACAGGCTTGCAACAGGTCGAAGTTTCACAAGGAGCAGCTTCTGCCGTTCGTGCAAGCGCAGCCACCGTCCAAGCATCTGGTTGTGGTGGGAGACCTGAATATGGTAGCCGATCCCGACCTGGATAAGTCGTCGGGAGCAGGGTCGCGCGATCTCCGCGACGCTTTCCGAGCCTTACATCCCACGGGCAGGGAGTGCACTTTCAGGGTGAGGGCCATGCAGTCGAAATCCCGCATCGACAGGGCCCTGGTGTCCACGTCGCTGCTTGGCAACCTGGAGGGGACTCGCCATATGGAGGTGCCGAGGAAATTGTCAGACCACTGGTTCGCCATCAAGATACGGCTGAAATTTGTTTTCGAGCACGCGCACGGCCCGGGGCTCTGGAGGTTCCACGCAACACGGAGGAAAAAGAAGGGGGTGAGGAAGATCATCCAGTCGATCAAGGAGTCGCTCGGCCGGTCAGGCTGGGACTCCCTGGAGTGCATGATATCAAGGCTGACGGTGGGGCTACGAGCGCACGAAAAGGAAGAAAGGAAGAGGGTGACGGCAACGCAACTGCACCTTATGGAGGAGGTGGAGCGGATGCGGCACCTGGTCATGGGTGGGCCGACGGACGACAAAACGAAGGCGCTGCTACTGAACAGGGAAGAGCAACTGGAATCTTACCGGGAGAATGAGCGGGAGAGGCTAGAAGTTTTCGTGGGCCTCACGACGGAGCTGCAGGAGGAAGTCCCGTCGCCTTACCTGTCGGCTAAGGTTAAGATGAGGAAGGAGCGCACACTGATTGAGGAGGTACAGTTCAAAGGGGAGCAGTACTGTGGGTCACAAGCGGTGCTCAAAGCAGCGTCGTCTCATTTCGCGGAAGCCTTCAAAGAAGCCCAGGCGGTGTCGTAGACGGCGCGCGACAATTTTGCAGTGGACAGGGTGATGCCGGCGGAGGCGGTGGTCAGGCTCGGGGCTCCGTGGACGGAACCGGAAGTCAAGGCGACACTGGAGGGGCTGCCGAAGGGGAAGTCGCCAGGATAGGACGGGCTCCCGGCGGAGCTTTTCGTGTCCCACTGGGACCTGCTGGGGGGGAGCTTCATGAAGTTCGTCAGGATTTTTGAGTCGACGGGCACGCTACCAGAATCACTGACAACGGCGGTGGCAGTATTACTGCACAAGAAGGGGGAGAAGGACATGCTGACAAATTATAGGCCGATCACACTACTCACGACAGTCTACAAGGTCCTAGCGAAGGTTTTAGCGAACAGACTCAAGCAGGAGCTTCATCACGTAATTTCAAAGGAGCAGCACGGGTTCATACCGGGCCACAGCCTGGCAGACGCGGTGACGGTGGTAGCCGACGCGATAGAAGCAGCGGACAACGACGGGGAGGACTGGTACCTCTTGCTTGTGGATTTCCAGAAGGCCTACGACACGGTGTCGCGGCCCTTCCTCTTCAGAACGTTGGAGAAGCTTGGCCTGCCAGCACAATTCGTCAGGTGGGCGGAGGGCTTGCATCAGGGGTCAGGAACGAGAATGGCGATAAACGGTTGGATTGGGGAACGAGTGGAGATGCAGAGGGGGGTGAGGCAGGGATGCCCTCTCGCGCCTTACCTTTTCCTCTGTGCCCTGGAGCTGCTATGTGCGGAGATCAAGGGGCGCGACCTGGGGGTCAAGGCGGACGGTGGCGACGCGGTGTCGTACGTGGGTTATGCGGATGACACCTCTTTGATCCTCCGGGGCGAAGACCAGCTGCACTCAGCGGCAGCGACTCTGGACTGGTTCAGGGAGTTGTCAGGCCTGCACATCAATCGCGACAAGTCAATTGTCATGCCGCTGGGAAGGAACAAAGGCAAGACATCATTACCCGGGGTTACTTTCAAGTGGGCGGAGGCCGGAGTCCCCGAGCGCCTACTGGGCATGTGGGTGACACCAGACGGAGACGCAGCACCTTCATGGGAGAAAGCATGGGAGAGGGGGAAGAGCGAGCTGATCAAGTGAGAGAGCCAGCACCTGCTGACGGCTGCAAGGGTTACAATCATCAACAGCTACATCATGCCAATTCTCCTGTTTCAGGCGCAGATCTACCCGCCACCAGAGGAGCTATGGGCGAAAATTTGCAAAACCTGCGACAACTACGTCTCAAAAGGGGAGGTGACGGCCGATATTTTTTTCGTTCTCTGGAGTGGGGAGCTGGTCCGACTGCCAAAGAAAGAAGGTGGCATGGGCCTAATCGACCCGAAGGACCGGCTGGACAGTTTGGCGATCCGCCTGGTGGGGAAGTTCTTGACGGAGAGGGATGCCACCAAACGATGGTTGTCGGAGAAGGCGGCGACGCTGCCGCAAGGGGTAGCGACGTTTTTCGCCCACAAGTCCGCTGGCGGGCACTCGAAAAAGGGCAGCCAGAGGTGGAAGGCGATTGCAAAGGTTTTGTGGGAGTCGCCGTTCGCGGATCTCCCAGCGCCGACCAACGGCTGGGAAGCCGAACGGGAGCTGCTGTGTTTCAATCGGCGCATCATGTTCCGGGGGGGGAGCCCTTTCCGGAACCACCAGGGATTCGGACAACCAGGATGGGGGACCTGCTCATCACCAGAGAGGATGGAAGCAGAGACATCAAAGATATTAAGACACTGACAATAGAGTTTGGTAGCGTGGCGTCAGCCAGGTGGGCGAAAAAGGCCTATGAGGTGGCCCCGGTGGAGTGGAAAGCAATGCTGGCGGCACCGAAATCAGCGGAGGCGGTAGCAGCGGCTGCGAAAGTGGTACGAACGGTTTTGGCGCGCACGCAGGAGTTCCTATACTGGACGGTGCGGGGTGTCAAGGAAGGGGAAGTGGCGACAGACCATTTGGACTGCTCGGATGGCTCAAACCTGGTCGCACCGCAGAGGCCGTATCCGGTTGCGTTCCCCGTCAAGAGCGTGGCGCCGGTGGTGGTCAAAGGAGGCATGGTGCTCGGGGCTATGGGCGAGAATCTGAGGCCGGCGGCACCTAAGGAGATTAGGAGGGTGCTGGCGGGGCCGGTGACGGCGTCAAGATGGAGACATGAGTGGGAGGAAGAGTGGGGAAAGAATATCGACTGGAAGGCTGTGAGGGAGAGGAGAGACTCCCTGGTGATCCCCTACAGAGCGCGTGATGTGGTGCTGAGGATGCACAGCAAGAACCTGCAGGTGGGGGGGAGGCTGATTTTCCTGGGCCCCAGGGGCTGTTGCCCGCACTGCGGAGAGCCAGAAACCCTAGCCTACTGCATGCTCACCTGCCCTGTCATCCAGCCGGTGATCGGCGCGCTGCTGAGCTCGCTGAGGATCATGGACCTGGCGGATCAGACGAGGTCGCTAGACAACATGCTCTTCCAGGAGGGGGGCCACGAAATCCGGTTTTCTGGGGGCAACTTTGACAGCGGTGATGATGCGGAGAATCTGGTTGGCCAGAGTGGATGCGGTGTACCGGAAGGAGAAGTTCCAAAGGAAGAAGGTGGCACGGGCGACAATCTACGACTTAATGCGCCACGCAAGGCTCTACAGAGCGGAAATGCTGAGAAAGGCAACAGGGGGTGGTGTCCAGGGGCAGCCACGTGACCCGTGGGGCGACCTGGTAGGGGATGAAAGACCGGTGATTGCGAGGATATGTGAGGCAGGGGAACGGGCCACGTGGAGGGTCATATGGCAAAACCCCAAGACGTTCCACCGTCCACCGTAGGCA